AAGAATTAGCCCAGCAAGTAACAATGCATATAAACCTATGTACAGCAGCTGCAGTGGTTGTTTCATAAGGCTTGATATACCTCTCTTGTTATAGTTAGTTGTAGTAATATAGTGATTTGGTAAATTTTACGCAGAGGAACCTGTTCACCTCTGATGAAATCTCTTTGTCATTATAGTCTTCTCAACTTGTCACCGAGTAACTGTGCACTATGCATTATGCGCATTTTATCTTAATGGTTACATTAAATGAAATATCATTGTATCTTCAATTGCGTCTTGTTTTTCAAGAAAGTCTTTGTAAGCAATAGCACCTCGCATTACGCATGGATAAAAGCTTTTCCATTCTCTCTTGAGTGTACATTGGATATGGGCACATGTCATTAACATTGTACCTTTGTGTAAAGGCTTTTGTGTAAATAACTAGCTTTTTTCATTCCTTATGTAGTTGATATTTAATTCACAAGGTCCGGTTGCGTGACACTGCCCCGATGTCCAGTAATGCTTGAAGAAAAAAACTCAGCCGCCTCATTTCCATCGCTTTACTTAAGTTCCATTAAAATTTACTGGCGATTTGCGAAACAGAATGTAAAAGCAGCGGAAACGGAAAGTAACCCACCCAGACTCAAGATCTGAAGATGGAGAGCGGATAATGTGAACAGTGTCTTTGCCACTATTTGTTTGGGCTTGCTGTCTTGGGGCACAACGGGCCAAGTGGCCGTGGCAATCGCTGCAGTCTTTCTAATTCCTCATTCAATAATCTGTAAGAAAAGCAACACACATTCTGCCAGCTGACATTAAATGATAAAACGGAAATCAATGCCACTAAGGCAGATTCAATTTAAGCCCGCCCCGAAGGATATCGAATAATCCCCACGTGTTTCTCCTGGCGGATGAGTACATGATTTAGCTGCCAAAACCTTGTCCATTTTGAAGATTTCATCTGTTTGTCTGGGTAAATGCCGCCGCCGTATTTTTGTGTATGGCCTTGGAGGCGCAGTGTTGTATCGAAAGTTACTGTCTCACCTAGCGTATGAGAAAAATTACTCATACGCAGACAAAGGCAAGGGGTTCGATAGGTTTACGTCACATGCGTCTTTAGAACGTTTGCGTACCCGGAGGGAGATAAAATGTTTTGAGCGTGTTCAAAAACTATGTCATTCGCTTCTCGTATTTTCATTAAATACGCTGAAAACAGGGTGATTTTATTCGCTCAATAAAGTTGTGCATAAAAATCGATGTCACATACGATACTCATACTTGTACGTACCACTTTACGCTAGGTGTGACAGAGCCTTAAGGGGGTAATGACTCTACGATACAACGATAATCTTACTTATTAAATGCGTAGTTAGCGTGTGATGCTGTTGTGAAATACTTTGTTGCGCAGTTTTTAGCCACAATATCTATATTTTCCCTTAACATTAATGCAGAGAGGAGGCGGAAGAATATTGAAAAGGGGTGAAATCTTCCCATTTTTCCACCCGACATATTCCTCGTTTAGATCATTTCATACAAAACCCAACTGTCCGCGCCTTCATTTTCACAAGAATAAATGGAAATCCGACAAAAGCAGTAGTAATATCATTGCTGCCACCTTTTTCTAAATTCAAAGAACGCATTCAATCAAGCTGTCCAGATCTTTTTGGTCCCGGTAGAAATCCACTGCTGTCTGGAAATAAATTCCTTTGTACATATTTCAATGCTCTGTGGAGAATGAGTTTTAGATGGGGCACATTGAAGTCAGAGCGGGAATCAATCACAAACTTTGATTGACACATTAGCCTAGGTTTCAAAAAAAAAAAAAAAAAAAAAATCCATCGGAACATTTATTGTGGGACACAACATCTATTTTATTACAGATCTTGACGAATCTCAGGAACCATCAGCATTGAATTAAAAAACGTGGAATTCCGCATTTCCACGGAAAAAGCTCATGCCTGAAAATTCACGTCTTGGAAGCCTAGGCGCCCTTCCAATAAAAGTTACCGAGTTGATTTTTCCAGAGTTCTTTTTTTTTTAAAATCCTATGAGCCCTTTATTATTTTAACACCAGTTGGAATAATAATTACAGGATCCTTCCTGGGAGATCAACTTGACTGAAAAGTGTATTCAAATCTTCAACCTTCTTTTCGAACGACACCACTACTGAAAGACCGAATATTTACGTCAGCGTTCACAAAGAAACAATGTCATTATCAGATAGCTTTATTTTGCCATATTCCTGCATCTATAACGTAAAGAAATGAAGAAAATCAACACTGAAAAAATGTGAAAATTAAAAAAATTAATCCAACGTTTTAATACATTTGGTGGTAATTTTTTTGTGTCAATTACTAAAAAACGCTGCTCGAGCAACGCACCACCGAAATGTCATGTCTATCAGTTTACAGTTTTTGGTGGATGTAATATTAAAGAAACCTTCCAAGTTTTGACATTTCTTTCCCCATTATAAAATGATCTATACAATACATGAAATGAAAAAATAAATGTGCAAATTATTTATCGAATTACCAGAACAGATGTCCCTGAATTTAAACGTTGAATATAAATTTTATTTGAATACTGCTGAAAAGGATTCCCCGTCAAATGTTTCAGACAACATATTGTGCCTCGTCTATATACAGTCAAATACTATAAGATGGCATATATAATGTAACAAAAAATGGTTTGAGAAAAAAAAATTGTCATGCTTCTTCGATGCAACATATAACAACACTACATTTGGAAAGAATAATTATTGATAAAAAATGTAAATATCTTATATCAACTTTCTGAATCTAACAAAAAATTACGTAACAACTGTCAATATCATGAATATTTCAAACGGCTTCCGTGTCATTTCATCCTACACACTTCAAAATATTCAAGTTTTTACAATAATATGTACACAAATTATTTTATAATTGTTGCTCCCAAAACACCTGTGAAAGGAGCACCAGAATTGCAGCACACAAGGTTTAGCAGACGATATGGAAGCGACCTATTGTACTGCCTTCATTGCATATGGTCAGATTAACAGGAACAAAAGCCAGACATCAAGTCTATAGCAATTCACACAATATTTTACAATAAATACCAACTTGCCCTTCAAACTGAATAATATGGGTCTAATGCTATACCTCTCACTGCCATTATTACTCATTTTGTCTGTAACATTATGTTCTCATACTGAGGCAATTCACTATTATTCTCTACAAGACCATTTCAGCTAACATCTGTGGATAATAATTCATAAATATCACAAATAACACAGACATATGGCCTTATATGAGATCATTGAATTATAAGAATCCATAGCAACAGATAATTTGACAGACATAGCATCTGTTATTAAAGTGTAATCGTATCTGATAATCTCCAACTGCCAAGTTGCCATAACGACCAGAAAACTGGTTGTTGTCACACAGTGCCATCTATTGTGTTGATCTTGTACTTCACTATACAATAGCAAGCAGTCATGTATCAGTGTTAGACTACAAATATCCTACACCAGTTTAATTTTTAAACTTAACATCAGGATCCAGTCCTTACTTCAATACCACAACAAGTAAAGGTGAACTTAAAGACAATCCAGGGAAGAACAAATAGATGAGTTTTCTCTGTCACTATGGTCAAAATTGCAACAAAAGTTGACATCTCCATCTTTGTAACCTGTCAGTTAAGTGAAGAAGACTCCCGGATATATCAGTGTGTATGATGCCTATGTTGTGTAGTCAAGCACACATTACATGTATAAATACAGAACAGGACGTGGACAGTGTGGACCATCTGTGGGAAGTCTGGAGCTCTATCCACCTCACAGCTTGTCTTCTCAGTACTTGTGTTTGCCTTGAGCTGGGTCAGCTGAAAGTATGCAACATGTTTAGGCACATCATTTGAATTGTATAACATAATGTAAGAATACAATGCACTTGTCTGCTTCTAACTTTAACAGGTATATACTCTTATAAACACATAAATGCTTGATAATTTACTCAATGTTAGTGGCCAGGTATGTGACAGTAATGATACCATGTTCCTTCCAACTCTAAGGCCGTATTCAGAATAGTGGACTAACTAGTCCGAGGGTCAAATATGGCCGACCCACTTGAATACTTCCCAACGGATATCTATTCAGTGTCTATTAGCGGATTAGACAACAAGCTTTTTAGTGGGTCGCCATATTGGACCCGCAGACTAGTTAGTCCATTGTTCTGAATTCGGCCTAAGAATTTTCCTACATGGCGCGTATATTTCTAACTCATAACTTTAACAAAATGATTGGAAAACCTTAACATTACAATATTTATGATTATCAGACCATGCCCACCCCCACCCCCATCAGATCACAAAAAGCTTCATGTGTGGATCCCTGCCCAAAAAGTTTTGTTACCAACAGCATTTTTGGTGTTATCACAGAAACAGACATTCCTTAAAACTGACAAACCAAAAACACATAATTCAATTTCATTTCATATTTTCTTAAATGTGTAATCACAAGCTCCTTTCTAGCATGTTAGTGAAAATGTCTATAGTCGTGCTCTCATTGCAGATAGACCCTTCTCAGTGCAGGCCATGTACTGAAGCCAAGATCACCAGAGGCAGAGAGCATAATATCCCCACTGCTCAAAAACATTCCTTTGGCAACCCAGAACAGGTCAAGGTAACAGATAGGAAAATAAGGGCTTCTATCTGCTTAGCTTCAACAGAGAAGGACCTCTCTGCAATGTGATTCATGACTTAACACTAGCATGCCTGCCCCAGTATACAAGTACAATAGGTATAGATGCTGCCACTGATCAGAGGGCCAAAAGACAGACTGGCAGGCTGTAAATTTTAAATATAAACCTTTATTTCAAACCATGTACAAGTTGTACTGCACGTACAAGAGAATACTTAGTGTCTGTGAGTATTACACACCTCATCACCCTTTGGCTTACAATTCTTATACTGAATATGAGAGAGTGCTCTGGCTGCTGAGATTGTTACAAAGTGAAACCCATTGAGATCACCCAGCCCTACCTGTGACGTGCGTCCCATACGGCAGAGTGTTAGGAGGTAGATGATGCAGCGGTGAGGTAGTATGAATTGAAGGATACATATCTGGAAGGCAGGAGAAGCACAAAGCATTAGACAAGCTTACTGGCAGAGTTAATGACTGATGAACAGAAGCAGATAGGAGAGAAAGCTTTATTACTAACAAATATATACATTGCCAGATAGAGCTGATCACCAAACCAACAATAACTCCAGCGTTTCCAGGGGATCTGGCAGGTGGGGGCTTCTATGCCACCCAAAACTCTACCCCTGCTTTAAAGAACTTTTTTGGAAAATAACCGAGTGTATCTGGGCCTTAGACCATTTCTTTCTTTCTTTCTTTCTTTTTTTTGATACTGGACAGGGACCGAATCCATCAGTGTTTTTAAAGAGTGGAAGTACCCCAATGCCAATAACTTAACAATAAGGAATAGTTAATCGTTGTATCAATTAATACTTCATTAAGAAATGTTAAACATGTACTTGATTCCCCCTAAACTACACACTTTAATAAAGAATGGCAAACAATAATCAATCTGAGGAAATCAGTGGGCATGAGCCATTAGATAAAAGTTGTAATCTGATAAAGACTTTTCCCTGCTGTGTATTTATGAGTCTACTTTCTCAGTGTTAGAGCAAGTGAAGACAAGGACTTACGTGGAGTTCCCAGTCCGTACTGTGCCGCGTGGCCGTGAAGTGGTGAAGTTTGTTGGTGGAGCGGTGATGGTGTGGAGTGGCTAGGGGAGTGGCCAGCACGAGGGGGCGTGGTCTGCTGGACAACCACTGGACTGGTGTTACCAAACTGACCACCATGTGCTAAGGAAGAAAATGGAAAAATGTAGCCAGTTTATTTCTAGTATTAATTTTTTTAAATCTGGGTAAATAAGAAGTGAAACACTTTTAATAAAACACATGAATTTGAGTTATTTAATTGGTCCGTCTGAATTGAAGTATGAGGCATTGAAATCACCAGATGTATTACATACCTGGTGAAAGGTCAGCTGCAGATCTTGACAAGGAGGTAGGAGTGACAGGGGAGCCTTTCAAGTATTCTACAATATCAAACCCCCCAGCTCCGGCCAGAGTGAGGGACGGTGGGACCCCTGGGAGAGCACTGGTGACCCCAGCCAAGGACAGGGTGGGGGACACCCCTGGTACACCACCAGAGGACAGACTTCGCATGTAGGGAACACAGAACGCAGAGTCGGGTTTCTGTGTGGCTGCTGCTGCCGCTGTTTTGCTCTTGTAGTTCAACCCCTGAGAGGGTGCTACGTCTGGGGAAGTCAGCGCTGATGAGTAGATTTGCTGAGCAGAGTCGCTGGTCCATGCAGAAGTGCCTCCTGTCAACAGAGACCTTGACTGACCTTTCTGTTGTTGCTGTTGTTGAGCACTGAGAGTTCTCTGCATCTGTTGTTGTTTCATATGCTGTAACAGAGCCTCATTGCTGCTTTTTCTCTTTGCTTCTTGTTGAGAAGCGGTGGAGGACTTTTGTTGAGACGGTTTCTGTTGTTGTTGCTGTAATACTTTCTGCTGTTGATGTTTTTGTTTCTGTTGAATTGCGGCCTTTAAATGTTGCTGCACCAAATCTGCCTGCTGGTACTCTGTCAAATGCTGCTGCTGCAATAACCTAGCCTGAATTTGTTGCTGTAGCTGTTGTTTTTGTTGCTGTTGAGGACTTACAGTTTTTTGCTGCACTGCATCTCCTCCTCCTCTGTGGCTGTTACCCTGCTCTTGGCCTGAGTGTGAGGTAATAAAATCACCTGAAAACAAAGTCTTTACCACTTTATCTGTGTGGTTAGCATCCTGCTGCAGACCACCTGTCTGCCCTTGTCTTCCAGAACTGGAAGGTGTTCTCCCAAGAACAGAATTTCCTTTCTGGTCCGTCACATTAGCTGCTGTAGACATGATGCTGGACTGTTGCCCCTGCTGTAATCTCCCTGCATTACCAGCTGCTGCTGCTGGGACGCTAGGTTTGGGTTTGGTGCCCTGATGTGTGGGGCTGACAGTAGCTCCCTGGGGTCCAGCCAGCCCCCCTGCTTTCTGTCCCTGATCTTTGTGGAGAGAACTTGCAACATTGGCAGTGTGTGAAGTTTTTCCCTGGGCCGACTGCATAGATGAGGAAGAAACTGAGTTTGTTTGAACTGGTTGCTGAGATCTTTGAATGTATACCTGCTGTCCACTGCTGGTCACTATGCTGGCGTTTTGGCCCTTCAATGGAGCCACCGGGGAAGTTTTTGGAGAGGTTTTTGTTGTGTCCACTACTGAACTATTGTAAACACCAGGAGAACTGGTGGTTTTGATTAAATGGTGGCCTTGACCTTTCATGGCCCCTGAAGACCCTTTCCAAGTGACAGTTATAGGGGACTTGGATTTAGTTTTGGACACAGTCACTGTGGTCTGCATTTTGTTTTTTAAATCCTGGCTCAGGGTGAACAAGGACTTGGTAAGAGGATGCTGAACCTGAGAGGAAAGCTGGGGAGATTGTTGGCTATTAACAAAGTTTTGAAAACTCGACATAAAGTCAGAGGAACTATTTGTCACTGTACCAGGGAGACTGGATGTCACCACTGCTGTCACAGGTGTATTTGACACAGCAGGTGACCCTGTGGACAAACTTAGAGTCTTCAGTACTTCCGAGGCTGGAGAGCTGCGCAACAGTTCAGACACTTGAGTTGATGTCAAAGGTTTTGTGGTTATTTGAGTCTTGGGTCTCTGACTGTAGGCGTGGTCAGTCCGTTTCTGCTCTCCTAATCCTAGAGAGCTAGGAACCGTGTTCATGTCGATCTGCTTGTTCTCCTGGGAAACTGTTGTCCCTGCTGTTACTGTTGATGATACACTTGTTGATGTTGTTACTACTGCCACTGATGTTACAATCTGTGGCTTGGGACTTGTAGTCACAATCATGGTTTTCTTTGGCTTTTGTCTGAGGTAAAAAAAAGGAATTGCACATTTATGCATTTTATATTTCATTGCTGCAACAGTCTTCAGACTAATGCTGGTTAGCTCATTTCTATTGCTTTAAGATCTCAAAGTATTTAGTGTATAACATTCAATTTGATTAACGTGTGCCAAGGTTTATTCCTTAACAGCTAACCAGTTATATAATTATGTTGTGAAATCTTTCCACACTGACCAAACTAAACAAACAAGAATGTACTTACTGTAGACCTGTAAGGTAAGAGTGAGCCGATTTACTTTCTTTAAACAGCATCCTGAAATAATGAAAAAAAAAAAATTCCACAAAATATTCACAGCAGCTGCTATCATTGCGACCTGCCCACATTGTGACTAAGAACATCTCTTAATTTCACTTCAGAATGAAAACATTCACAGAGCACTGAATCCACACTACAAGTTCTGTAGCAAGAACATTTTTAATTTATGTATGTACCTAGGCATTTTGTGCCTTTGTTTAACAATAAGCCCAGTATTCAATCTAAAATTCTGCTCGATTTAATTAAGCTTAAGGAATTTGGAAAAAAGGTCATACATCTACAAAACTTTGCCACCTATCCTCTAGGCTCAATGTGCAATGCTCTTCATTGTAGACAAACAGCTGTTTTTTTTTTAGCCCATTCCAAATTGGGAACATGATTGACGAGAAAATGGTGACAAATACATTTTTGAAGTATGAACATACATGCTTAGCACTTAGTTATAAGTTCCAATCCTTATATCTTTTGGTATACAGACTTTGTGCCTTTTATAGATTATATTTATACTAGTTCTAGTTAAATAACTTGAAACAGTAATTACATATTAGTTTCACATGCAATAAATATAGTTAAGATATGAAGTTCCAATAATTCAGTCTGAGTGTGCCCACCCACCTTGTCTGCATCCATCCCTTGGGCCACAAAGTTTTAATTTCGGCCTCCAGGAACCCCTTCAGGTACTCCTCGGCAGTCTGTCCCTTAGCCCTGGTGGACTCATAGCCCTGGAGCTTCAGCCTGACCACACGACACAGCAACTCTCTATAAAGAGAAGTTAGGAAAATTTATTTGTACGAAGACATTAAAGGGGCATTCCGTGGTATTCGTTTTTGCATTACGGATGGAATTTTGACACTTTAAAAATAAATTCTACAAGAACTATAATACATACATTGTTCAAATTTGGCAGGAATATTGATTAGTACAAGCCTAAACTTGTGACCAAAAAACTTGAAATAACATCTATTAGTTTTTGAGAAATATTGGTTATTGATCACCATTACGGACGGAAAAAAATGGACAAGCATTTTAAACCAGATACTGGGGTAGCGCTAGAATTTTTTTTTTTCCGCTTAGCCAAATCACCACTTTTTTGTCAATTTGTTATCCAAATGGTTATAATTTGACTAAAATTTGACTAAAACTTTGAAAAAAAAAAAAAAAAAAACTGGCAAGTGTTTGCACTACCCCAGCAGAATATAAAATCACTATAAACAAGAATTAAGCTATTTTGTTGCAAAGAGAGACATAAAGGTAGAAATGTTTCCAATCTGCCCATATTCATCAAGAAAAACTTGCATATCCAAAAAGCAAAGCACCACAGTTGTTAAAATAGCATCTGACCTTAGTTTCAATCAGTACTTTCTTATCCTGAGGCAAACAGATGTCAAGCTACTCTCAGACTTTGGAACCAAGATTTAATTTCCATTCACAGCTAACTGATTAGACCAAGTGATTTGGATATCATGCTATTAACTATGAATATGTCACAATAAAACTCTTCAGTGGATTATTAATACAACAAATGGTAACTACTAAAGTACCCTTTAAAAATACCAGACTTTCTTACTTTGAAAATTGAATGGTCATTAGACAAGAATACATCTTGACGAGGATATAAAACCATTATCCTAGGTAATAGTCTGAAATCGTCAAGCCTCATTAATCAGGTTTTCAGATCTTCCAATTAATTTGACAGCAGGCAACATTATAACCCTTGGCTTGCACACCACAATGCTACAGTACGATGTCTTTATAACCCAGCTTGTGCATAAAAACACACTTTCAAAAATGGAAAACTAAGCATAATCATAACTAGAGGATCAGAGAGGCGATACCGCCTCCTGATATTGTACCACCAGCTGGGGTAAGCGCATTTGTATGGGAAAGAAAAAGAAAGTGGGGCCCCACCTGTATGGTTGTGGGTGACAAGCTGCAGGAAATGTAGTAAACAAGGTGTTTTTTTTTTTTTTTCAGTTTTGGCATCTAATGGCTGCTTTTCCCATGAAAATGCACCGATTGACCCCGAACTTCCACACATTAAAGCAGTCTGCAATTGTAACCCCTCAGTATAATATGAGAGCTAAGGTCTGCTTAGTTTCTGAACATTGGCACAAACAAATATCTTTTTGCAGAAATTCCCTTTTTTGCGATCTAGGAGGATAATTGGTAATGGTGCCTTTTATCCCACGCCACCCTGCGGAGCCGTACGATATGGGTTGGTACTAAAACCACGAATACCCCCAGCTTACACACTGGTGGTACTAACTATGGGCATATCTTTGCCAGTTTTGAAAGTATAAGCACTGAAAAAAGTTGCAAAGTTCAGTCCATGGTGAAAAGTAGGTCAAAGGTCAATTTCAAGGTCACAGTTAAATTGCCAGTATATGACTTCCTATTCAACTTCAATAGTAACTATTGACCCAACTCTCCTAGTTTTGGAGATATAAGAGACTAAAATTTTTCAAACTTCAGTTAATGGTGAAAAGTAGGAATGTACTTTTTGATACAGCATAACTCGTGAACCGTATGGAAAACAAAAAACACGGAGACCACCTCCAGTGTTGGGCTTGACATGCTCTATCAAATGCAAAAAACAAAAGGTCTCTAGCATTAACGACTCCAGAATTAGAGAGAGTTTTATGTTTCAGCATCTAATGGCCGCTGCTCCCGTGAAAATGCATCGATTNCGCCACCCTGCGGAGCCGGCGGAGCTCACGGAGCCGGCGGAGCCGGCGGAGCCGTACGATACGGGTCGGGACTAAAACCATGAGTACCGCCAGCGTACACGCTGGTGGTACTAATTATATGAATTAATTGTTATAATTTAAATTAATGAGAATAATATCATCAGCTACTAAAACCCTGCATTCATTACATCACTTGGCCCATCTTTTAGGTGAGGCATGGTCGACTAGAGATTGATAAGTGTCATCTTTTTCAACTGAGAGTAAAATGTGATAAACTATCATACATCATTTAATCTACAGAAAAAAACTGTATAAATTCAGTTTAATTGGACCCATTTCTATAAGCCACATTTGATTTTTCTTCTTATGGACCTTGAAAAATGAATTGACCCTGACGTGATTTGAACACGCAACCTTCTGATCTGGAGTCAGACGCGCTACCGTTGCGCCACAGAGTCATACATGCTCTAAACCTCTTACAATACACTGGCTTATTAATAAGCTGATATATTCTGCTGCTTATTATCTTCTTATATGCATGACTGAGTTGTGATAATGAGAGTTGTAACTCGCTTACACTGGGATGGGAAAAGCAACAAAGGAGAGCCTACAGTCTTTTTTCCTTTTTCTATTTCTCAACTGTTTGTCCTGCCAAATAATAGAATATGACAACAATATTCACATAGTATATGCTACATGGATTATCATTATTTCATTGAACTGTAACATCCTGACCCCTGCTATAGAATGTACATGTAATTAACTTAGTTTTTAATGAATTTGAGCTTCCATTCTCAAGATATGACAAAAAAAAAAAAAAAAAAAAAAAAAAAAAAAGACTAAGTAGATTTTGTATATGAACAATCTATTATTCTACACTCCTATGCAAAACAATCTTATACAAATAAACACTGCAAAAAAGTGCACTTAATGATGGAGAAAAGAAGTAACTATTAAATATACTGGATAAACTGAAAATGTTTTATATAAAATCTTGATGGTTTTAGGTGTAATAGAGAATGTTGACTATTGCCATCGATAAAATTTTATTACAGACATAAAAGATCTCAAATTGTTCTTGTTACCAATGATAACATCATGCTGACACCTTTTGGGAAAGTTTTTTTCTATTTTTAGACAATAAAGCCGGTAGATACGCAAACCTTGTCTTCCCTGGAATTATGTATTGAATAAAAAATGAACAGTCTGCAGTACCTGTCAATACTACTTGTAAACCTCATACCTGTTCTAATGGCTATATATAAAATATATCATGTCATTGACTGATGTGTATGTAAAAATAATTTTCATTTATTAAAGAAACTTCCTAAAACAGTAACAGATAAGCCCTGACCCTAAATTCTGCAGTCGAGGCAGGTGATAAGGTCTGATAACATAGAGTTTACTGTATAATTATGTCAGTCTGTAATCAGGTAATTAGGTTATCTCCCACTTGCCTACTTGTCTCTGATAATATCAAACAATGCAGCAGTTTTAATGAGCATTTGAATGGGGCAATAAAAATACACTTCTATAACTACATCAAAGAATCAGCTGATTTTACCTAAGCAGCCTTTTAAGTTAAAATGGCCTAAATTGATCAAAATGTCTCCCCCCTCCAAACTGCTTCTTTCATGTGAAACACATATAGATATCTAAACATTAGTGCAATAAAATTGTACACTTTTAGAGCAAAAAGTTCTTTTTTTCATTTTTAATAAACAAACCCACACATTTCTACTTTTAAGCTACACACCTGCTTTGTAAATTGGTAATAGAAAGTGACTGTTCACATGCTTGTCATTACCAAAACTGTTATTGTTGACAAGCATGTGAACTACAAGCCTGTGCCAGTTTGATTTTAAATTTTTTTAGAAGATAAGAGCTCCTTATTACAATGTTCTATCTAACAAAGGCATTATCTCACATTTTACTGATAAAACCAGGAGTAAGTGTTTTGAGAAAATAGTACTCTTTGTTGTGATTAAAATGGTGTAGATAGCTGTTCCGGTGAAGGAGATCACCACAAAACTGCTGCTGTTAGATCCTAGCTCAAATTAGACAAGTCAGCCATGTGAATTTTTGAAGTGGCAGCACTAACTCATAACATAACAATATTTAATTCTGCATTATTTCAGCAGATAAGAAAATAAATCCTAATGTATCAATCTGTCATTTCTGTCATCATTCAATTTCCTGCACATGAAAGTTGTTCAATTTCATGGTCAAAATAATATCAATCACCTAAAAATATGCTTTCATTTCAATATCTCTATATCTACCTATCCATCTGTAAAATGACATAGTCAAATTAAGAAACATTGCAATATCAGTTTTTACTTTGTTTTTGTTTGCCTATATTGCATGAATAAAATCAATCGCACAGTAGGTTTTTTTCTGTCTTCCTGCCCCTCAATCTAGGTACAAGCTTTAAGTATCAAAGAATAACATTTATTTACAAATAATTTTTAACCATTCTTTTTATTTTGAACAATATCTCAGCACTTACCTGATACTTTCAGTCCACTCAAACTTCTTGCGAGGTGCCATGATTCTCTTCTTATCTCCCTGCTGGCTGGCTTCCGCATCCTCGTCACTCTCCGTGGAAGCTCCTGTAGCTGATGGGACAACGGCACCATTTTCTGTTGGCTTCTCATCCTTGCTGCTTTCTAGTTTGTCCTTAGCTTCCATAAGCCTGGGGGAAGAACATATGGTTCGGTAACTGCCAAATATAAGATTGCCTAATAATGACTGCCAAATATGAGGCTTGCAATAATATCCAGACTTCCCATCACAAATTTTCAAGCTGTTTTGGATTAAAAATAGTTAACCATATAATACACTTACACCAAATCAATGATCAGTAGTATGCCACAAAACACTATAAGATGGATTAAGCTTCTGGCATAAATTAATTAATATAAGTAATCAATGAAGGCGCTATTCTAACCTGTCATACCTGGCCTGGTGGGCAGCGGCACACTCCGCCTGGTAACTGTCCAGCAGAGCAGGCATGGCGCCATCTATGGCTAAAATGTAAACATGGCATGACTAAAACAAATATACAGGTGCTTGGACCGTGAAATAATATTGATTACCTGTTCACACATCAGAATATAAAGTTTAGCCAGGAGTGAGTGATTCATATCTATTTGTGGTTTCATCATTGTGTCTTAGATATGTCAGTTTACATTGCTAATAATCAAATGCTACAAATTATTAAATCATTGTAATTTACAATACAACTTTTGCAAAGAATGACAATACAGTAATTGTTGACGCATGATTTTGAAATTTACCCCCAGTAGATTAATCTTTTTTAACAAAGTAATATTCAATCACATTATGATTATGATAATAATCAATTCTAAGTATGCCACTGAATGTGCATATTCTACTCCATTCCAGCTGGCCATAACCTCAATAGGTAGATAACTCTGTGATAAGCAGTCCCTACCTTCTTTGAGTTTGTTAATTGGATCCTTTAGTTGGTCATCCTGCGCATTCAGTTTCAGTTTCTTCACCCGTTTTAGCAGAGTTTCCTTGTTACAGGGTAGGAAGGTGGCCATGTGGCTGTAGATCCCTGATCGTTGTGAGCAACTGATTTCCCTGGTGTCTTGTTCAATGCTGGATTACATATGAAATATGTGAAGGTTATAGCAGTGCACATTTACCAATGCTACATAGCTGTCTTTAGAACAATGCATACAATATTATGTTGATTTTTATTCTGCTAGAACAATGAATATATGCTGACTTTTTTTCTGCTTCTTTGGGGGTAGGTTGGATGAAAGATAACTGGCTTGTTTCATAAAATGTCAGGTTTTGGTGACAAAAATACACACATTTCTCTTTAAAAACCAATTTAAGAAATGTAGCCCAACCTGCAAGTTAAAATAACCTAAAGAACACAAATTTTACAATTTAGTTGAATTAGTAATAGTTTTATCTCTCAAAATCAGTTATATATATATATCCAGTTCCTGCAAATTACATCACTTCTTAAGAAAACTATCTGAACTATAACATGTACTTACTCTAATAAAAGTCTATTGACAGCAGCTGAAAAGAATTTACACTTTCCCTCTGTCGATTGTTTTGCTGCCTACAAATATAAATCACCGTTATAATGCAAGAAACACACTTCTTAAAGTCTCTATATTCTTAACCTGCAAAATTACAAACAGGGCAGTCTTCATGTGTTACATGTAAGTTGCCCAATGAATAGCTTATCCTAAGAGTTGCATTTTATTAACACTATTACAAATAAAATTGGAATTTCCTAATAGACTATTATAAACAATTTTTATTTTTATTTACTTGTGATTCTATTTCTTTTTAATGCTGCTTACAAAAAGATAACAATAAAAAGAATAATAAATAATAACCACAAAATAACTAACGTAAGATAAGATGTTATCAAACTTAACCCTCATTGGGGTACCTCTACAGATGTTTTCTACCTAAAAGTTTTCAAAGACAATTTCACTGGCACTTATTATCTTTTCTCACCTTTTTAATGAGTTCTATCTTGTTCTCCAGGTCATCAGACAGGCCTGTGGGGAGTCTGGGGGCTAATTCCCCAGGGACAGCAGGAACCGACCACTGCCCGTCCCCCTGACTGCCCTCCTCTTCCTCAGACTGAGCAAGGGTCAACGACTGACTGATCACTGATTCTATGGTGGAGTCGATCTTCTGTGCCTCTTCCGGGTCTGTCACACCGTTATGGACGCCTGTACTAAAGCTGCCTGTATCGCCCCCTGTATTCCCCTGAGATGTGGGTGAGATCTCATGCTGTTTAAGTAGGTCAGCCACAGAGGGAGCCACCTTCTGTTTCTTTGGACGACTGAAAGTTATAATGCACATCTCTCACGTGAATTGACAGTTAAGTTAGAAACACAGGGCAGACAGGAAAGTAACATTCTGACTCTTCATTAGTTGATGCATAGTAATACATTGTTGAAATGTATAAAAAGGGGTGATTTTGTAAATTTCCTAGTTTCAATGTGCCTAAATTGTAAGCTATTATAACTTTCCTTATTTTATGAGGTAAAAACAAGCATAAAGTAAAATCTTTAGTATTAGGGTTTCTCACCCCCTTTCTCTTTTTATCTTTTTCAACAATTCTTCTCCTTTCATTTCTCCTGCTGACTTCTTTCTCTTCTTCTTTTCCTTTATCTCGCCATCTTTTGACTTCCTCTTCTAAAAATGATAAATGAATGTATTTATGAATGAAGCCTGATGTAGATATGAAAATTGCTTTTCTGTTGTATTGTTTTTTGTTTTTTTTTAATTGAAAAATATCAATCCTATACAAAATCAATGTCATTTTATAAAAACATTTAAGATCATTTTCTATTTTACCTTGGGACCTCTTTTTACAATTCCTCCCTCTCCTTCTTCATCTGATGTAATTCTCTGCAATAATAAAGTTCACAGTTTATCAGTCTGCTTTTATCTTTGCAACACCACATGCAACTTGCACAAAAGACTGACCTGGTTGTGAGCAAGCACAAAAACCTCAATGATGTCTAAAAATGTTTGGTATAACACTTAACACATCGGTAAAAACTATACATTATTAAACTGTAGTAGAAAAGACAATACTTCCACAAAACTAAGTATATATACTTGTTTTTAACATATAACCAGTTATAATCCATTATTAAACTGTAGAAGAGAAGACAATACTTCCACAAAACAAAGTATATACATGTCTTAAACATATATCCAGCCCTTGGTTTAACAAAAAACAAAACAAAAAAATAAATAAATAAATAAAATAAAATAATAATAATAAAAATTTGAAGTTGAAAAATTATGAAAAATCAGCTCAAGTACCTTAATCTTCTTCCTTTTCTTTTTTGTTACTGCCTTGAGGTCTGCCTCAGATTCGTCCTCCTCCAGGGTTCTGAAGTCCAGCGCCCCCTGGTTGATGTAGAACCCACCAAGCTTTGTGGTCAGGCAAGATGGAACTATCTCATCATACTGAAATCAGAATTTTTTCAATTGCAAATCTGAGTTTTCACTGAGCAGTCAGTGTTTAGATTCAAATGTTGCTGCCAGCATACAATAAATATTATCTTTTATATTAAATCAATTAACAGTAAAAAAAAAAAAGCTTACTGCTTCTGTATTGTCAATGAAAGGGTCATTCTCATCGTAGCCTTCCCCCATGTCTATCAAGTCCTCCAGCCGCTCTTCACGCCTTCGCTTACTGGGCTTGCTTCCCTGGGGAGAACAAACAACAAACAATAAGAAAACAGAAACCATATGACCTTTTTTTTGCAATGATGCAAAATTTGAAAATTTAAAGTTTTTTTTTTCTAAATAAAAGCTGGCTATAATTTGACTCTACTTTTTAAACAAGGCAGCTAAGCTGTCATATGTACAGATGCTAATAAGAAAAATATTCCAATCAAGCTGGTTTGCCAATTTGAGCTGTATGTCAATGATTCTTGTAAATTTCATATTGATAAGTAACACAGTTTTCTTTTTAAAGCATTTGCATTGCCAATATACAAAACAGCTTTTTTATCAATTTTGATACAATATTACAAAATGCTAAACAGCATAATCACCACCAATTTTTAATAATATACTAAAAGTATCATAGATATTTAGAAAAAGACTAGCAAACGTCTTCAAGTCCATGAAGTTCAAAGTCACACCTTGAAAATGCCAATATTTGAAGGATTAAAATTTTACTATTAATGGTATCACTTCTAGAAAAGAGTCCAACTAGGCTGTTTTAGTCCCATCATACTTTTCTGTAAGTTTGAGAATCACAAGCAACATGGTTTCCTTAAAAGGTCATTATAGTTCCCAAAATAGGATTTTCTTCAATTTCGATACAATGTTACATAATACTTAAGAGCATAATCATCACCAATTTTTAATTATGCACTGCAGGTAACATAGCTATTTAGAAAATGTGACTAATAAAGGTCTTAAGGCCCATGAAATTCCACTTTTCGTTATAACACTGAAAGTGCACAGTGGAGACGACCACAATAACGATAGACGCAGGTGATGGCTATATGTACTGACACAACTGTACGTGTCTGTACATAAAAAAATCAAAATGATAAAAGAAAAAAATGCCAGTACAAAAAAAAAGTTAATCAAATAGTAAATGACAGGTAATTAAAAATTAAACTACTGTATTTTACAACCGTGAGGGCCAAGTGTGCCAATGGTTGTAAAATAAGTGTGTCACATTTCTGGCAGCAAACTGCTTCATATCTACTTCATACAATCAAATGACATTTAAGGTATAAATCAAGATAGCTGTGAACTTTCTGCAAATTATTGGAATTTAAAAGAAATATTCAGTATCTAAAAAATGCAATCTTTACAATGAAACTTTATACATAATTATAATAATAACAATAATAATAATAATAATAAATAAATAAATAACAATTAAACTACATACATATTTTTCTTCAAATGATTTTGCCAGAGCCAACATCTTGTCTCTGTCATCCACAGCCAAGGGATCATCTGGGTCCAAAAATGGGTTCGCTTCTTCATTCTCCTTAGCTTCATTCTGTGAAAAAAAAAAAAAAAAAAAAAAAAATCAGTTCAGCTGTTGTACTGTCTTAATCCCAACACTAGTGATGATCGACATAACATAAAATATGAAAAAGTCTAAAATGTGAATCCCCGCATGTGTGATTACTAATATCTATATTTTGGTACAATTTCAAAAAGAGCTGCCTTATGTCAAAAGAGAATGGGAAAATCAAAAGCCATAAAATGCCCAATAAGATAAATTTGACTAATGCACAATTCCTAACATTTAAGTTTCAACTCAAAAGGTGAATAAGTACACAAAAAATAATTAGCATGATAGAATAATCCATAGTTTATACACGATGCATTTTATAGTTACCAATCATTTCAAGAATCATTTTTTTGCTTAAAACAGCATCCAATTTTTGTTTTTTTTTTTTATCCATCTTCCATTTTAAAATTTATGTTCTACCATAAAAATGTTACATTGCAAAATGTTTAGCATTACACAGGGCAAATTTCAATTACAGAGGGAAATTAAAAAGCAATATGCACTATGACATAATTGGCCAGTGATAATATAATAAGGAAAGTCCTATAATAAATCTTTAAAATAAACGTGACTTAAGATCAGCTGGGCAAAACTGGAAAAATATAGAGGACTTCAGAAAAAATTAACATTAGTCCCATTAACTGCCCCTATCATGAAATTATCTGCAACAAAAATAAAATAAAATAAAATAAACAAATAAATAAAAATAAAGATAAGACATTCAAATGTTCAGCCTCCTATCTTAATATAAGAAAATTTAAAAAAAAATGTATTTGAAAACATTTTCTGAATCTAGAGTGAACTGTATTCCCAAATAGCAATTTTGTCTAAAAAGAAAAAAAAACGCTTTTTAAATTTTCCCGCCACACCATCCATCAATAGTGATTGACAGCTGTAATCAATCAGCCATGACCTCTGCCGCGCTTTAACAAAAACTCCCACTAACAACGCATCTGCTGAAATCACTAAATAATCCACTTCACTGTCTTCAGTCTACTGATCTATAAATAGAACACGCTCAACGCCGGCTCTTCTGCTCGGCTAAACTTCCCATAATCCTCTGTTACCAATCAAATCGATGTGATCAATAAAATGTAGGTCATGCTGTATCATTAAATCATCGATGAGGTCTCCAGGTAACCCCACTAATGTCTAGTGAATCGTAATCTGACAAGTTGCTTCGCGCAGGTGTCTCGCGCTGCTGCTAGGTAATACAATATGTTGACCTCATTAGCATAATGCTATCCTGTAAAGATTTGTGTATTTTTATTTCCTAGTCAAAATGTTATGAATTACTTACAAGACTTCCTGAAAATCCATACAAAATTACCACAGTCTGTCTGAGCACTATATACGTCTTTCTAGATATCGTCTTTGCTCTAAGCCGGTGAACCAAAAACACAGCCGTGATAATATTGCATGAAAAGTAATTTTCATCGGAAAAATGTTTTCCTTGTTATCCAGTGAGAAATGCTCAGAATTAGAATCTTGTCACGACAAAACAACATTAAAGCAATATTTGCAAAAAAATATATACGCGCAATGCGCTGTGCAATTTCGACCCCTTGTCTAGGTAAACTCCACAGGCAACATGGCGGCTCATTAATCGGTCGCATTATTGATAGCTTCTGACATATGTGCTTTCTTTCCACCAACCAAACACTGATCTAAATCATAAGATTCCACTAATGTTCGATTTTTGTGATGCCCTACAGTTTTTATCAGGAGTGAACTCCGCTTACGGTCTAGTTTTCCATATAAAAACACGGATGAATTCAGACACCTAGAAAATATGCAAGGAAAAATACTAAAATGGCGTCGCTCCCGGTCAGGCTATTTAACAGCATAAGGGTACACACATACTATCGTCTAGCCGCCATTTGCACGACTGACAAAGGATGTGATCATTTTTATTCACAATTTCTGAAGGCCCCCACCCCTTCCCACGTGAGGGATACCCCCTACAAACATAGTCCACAAACTGCTTTAGTTTGTTTTCAAAACGATTTTCATTAAATACTGGCTGTAGAAGGAGCCTTGATGGACGAAATTATGCAGTTTTTATAACTTACCAATATATTACGAGTAAGTTCGGTGTATGAGAACTCCGGGCAGGTCTTTGAAGTGCTTTTCGTGAGGGTCAAGTTAAATCGAAGCGTTGGGATTTCCTTCTTTTCCTTATTTTTCGACTGAACTGGGCCTACAGCAGTCAGCTGGATCCTCTTCGCTTCTGCCATGGTGCTTTCATTTGCAATCTAGTCATATCTTTTCCGAAAACTGAGATGATTGGATCTCCTATATTAATTTCTCGTACAATTCTGCCGCCATTTTGTGCCTGTCTAGGGACAATGCGCACGCGCGACCTATTTATAGCAACTCGTGCAAAGGAATGTAAATAAAGCCACGCGGTTACAGAGCGAACCATATATTCATAATTTCTTTTGTTATTTATTTTGCTATCTTTATTTCAAATAACAGACAAGTAAAAAATATACAACCGATAAAGACAGAAATATGATTAAACAGTTAGTCATTTCATTATTAACTCTTGTTTAAAATGCAACGGCGTTTCAAGATGTATGTACCCAGTACAATGTACATGTAGAATTTAATAGATTCGGGGACAACACAACATTATTGTAGATCCAACTCCGTGTAAGGAGCGACAAAATCAACAGATATTTATTTTGAATTTGATATATGTATAAAGGCTAGATAGGCTCAAGTTTTGCTGTTTCATAGTGTCATAGCCAGTCATTTGTTCAACTACAAACAAAACTTGGATGACAAAGGACGCCAATTATGACAGAGAAAATCATAGATATTTCCTTTCCGACAGGAAATTGGAAGAGTAATATATCCCCGCCACTTCTCCCTCCCCAAGTAATAATAATAATAATAATAATAATAATAATAATAATAATAATAATAATAATAATAATCAAAGTTCTATGAGGACGAAAAACACGGCAAAATGGCTATATTAAATAAAAATTTGTGGTGATGGTGTTGATGGCAGTGGGTGGAAAACCATCTGTTCCTACAACCGGGTATCTCTTAAGTGCTCAATGTTGTCTTTGTTTAAAACCTTTAAAGCGTCCGTTATGGCTAAGAACTGTTATTGTATGATATCGATATTCTTCTTTTTATAGACTAGCGCTAGGTAAAATTCCCCATCAAAGCAAATTATCATGCACCTATGTGTATGCCAGATCTATCTATCTATCTATCTATCTATCTATCTATCTATCCATTTCAGCAGATTGGGGGTGGGGGTCTGATCCATCGCATCCAGCATTTCCTGTCCACATATTTTTACAATAGGTTCTGATTACTTATTTGACATGTTAATCTGAGTTATTTAATGCTTTTCAAGTGAAAACTGAACCTGTTCTTTTGTCGGTGCCAAATGAATCACGCTTGATATCAGTGTGCCTTATACAAGTGTACAATATTTCATGCTATTTGTGGTCCCTATGACTACCATAATCCCAACTTCACTGCCTTTATACTGATGTAAATGTATGTGTGTGTCTGCGTGCGCGCGCGCGCGTGTGTATAATACATTAATGATTAACTCTGTATAAATCTAATGCCTCAAGTTTCTCTTTTAGGAGTCTAATTTGCTAATAAATGGACGTGTGAAGGCTGTACCAAATGGAGTCACTGGTCGATCTAAGATTTGGCTAAAAGTTGAGGCGGGACAGGGGGAAAAATTAAATAATCATAAAAATATAGTATATCTTATATTAAACAGCATACGAGTGTTTACCATAATATGCAAGACGCACAGAGGGGAGATTGTCTCACTCTATTTTTTTTCTTATTTATTTATTTTATTTTTTGGGGGGTGGATGGGGGTAGAGGTACTCCTGGACCTAAGGGAGGGGTACTTGCCCAATCTGCCCACCCTGGATCTACCTATAATACTGTAGTAGTTAACCAGAACTTCGAGGAATAAAAAAAACGTTTTATTCATTCTGTATCAGAAACACCAATTATCCTGGCGGCTGAAAGCACATCAGCTCATGAAACTCGATAAAAAAAGAAAGGTGCTGAATCCCAAAGTCATAAATAGCCTATTCTTCTCTTTTTAACAAGATTACATTATCTGCCTTTCAAACATGGTAATACAAATACGTTTGAGTCCTTTTTTTCCTTATATCAAGTGATTCATTGAAGAGAAGGCGCATTACATGAAATTTGCTGTCCAAAATGTACCTTTTCTTTTTATCTTGAAAAAGAACCTTTTCATTACAAAGGTATATATTACATCAATCATTAATTAATTCTTAGGATATATAGCAATCAACATTTCTAAGTGTTTCATCCGTATAAAGTAACATTAAAATACGTAAAACATAAGTATATGAAACATATCTACAAGCTTCTTATCAAGCACACGTCTTTCAAAAGAAGTATTCATGACAAGACCTCAATTTTGTCAACTGATTTTTTTAAAGAATTAAGAATCATCATGTAAAAATTACATTTCAGAAGAAATTAAATCGATGTTTTGAAAACTTAATTCTCACATTCACGTACACATTCTGAAAATTCTACTGGCCTAAACAAAATTTTACTGCCCGTGGGGGTACATCTAGAACCAGTGGCTAACGTCGCAGATTGATATCATGCATGCTTATTCTGTAGCATTAGTAATCAGTGATACAAACAAAAAAGAGATAAATGTTCTTTTCAAGGCTCTTCAAAGGCAGATAATAAAACGTTTTCAAAGTCTCCATTTTGAACAGCTGATAAAATCTTCTCCAGCCACGTGTCAATTGCTGCCTGGCCGTGGTAAAATGGCACTCCCACCGTGTGACGTATGTACCAGTACGCCTTCTTCGTTCCTATACGAAAAAAGTCTATTTTAAGTGTGCTGAAATAACTAATAATTTGATCCTTTAAAGATTTAAAGTCGTAAGCAGTAGTAAGCACTTCAACTTAATTTTGAATTATGATTTTTGTCAGGACTTCCTTTAACCATAATTATTCCTCATAACGGTCTTAATTTTAAAATGTTCAATTATCAAAATAAAATAAAATAAAAGCAGCCTACCTGTTCCTAGACAATCAACAGTCCCTAAATGACCATTACACGCATCAGACATCAGTGATTTCATAGCGACACATATCTCATTTCGGATGTCTTCTTCTTTGTGACCATTTTTAGGAATTTTCTCCGCAAACTTAGCTGCAGATTCCTCTGGGTGGAACAGGAAATCATACCATTTGTTTTCTTTAAGGAACGTGGCAAGGAATTCCTTTTGGCGTTTCCCCATTTTGCGCATTGAACTTATTACCTAAAAAGATAACATTCGCTTTCAATGCAGAATAGTTCCGATTTTCTTTTTCATTTAGATTGTTTTGATATTCTGGATGTGTCTATCTTGTTATCGAACATGAATTCACATTTATGTAACTGGAGAAGCGATTTTAAATGTAACACGTTCTTTTACTTCAGTTTGTTTATATGATGATAAAAACAACTTGCCATACATTCCAGTATTTTTTCTAGCGCGACTGGGATGCTATCTTTCGCGAAATAATGTTTTTTAAACAACACGTGTTCAGTATGTGGTAAATGCTTACCTCATTACGCAGATATCTCAGGTCCAAGGCCTGACACAGTAAACACAAATGATTCGCTAGCATCATCTGTAATATCTCCAGCGCTTCTCGAGTAAGACGAGAACTGACGAGAGCCATGGAGTTGACAGATTGATTCTGGCATTCAGCAGAGAGCACGTGGTTGGACATTGGATTGGCCAGGTGATCTAACTCTGACATGTACGATGCCATGGCAGTATCAGCTCCTTTGAAACCAAAATCGAGATTGACGTCTGATCCGCAGAGATTTGGCGGAAGGTCGTGGTTAATGCGATGGTTGACGATTTCTTGCAATTGTGCCAATAGAAGCTTCCCACAGACCTGCAGTGCTTGGCGAGTTTGATCTAATGTTATTGAAAGCGTTTCTCCTTGAAAATTGCCTCCATGAGCAATGGTGTCGGTGCGGTGGTCGATGACCGGGTTGTCATTGGCACAATTCAGTTCCACGTTTATTCGTCGACAGGCCTCTTTGAGAGTCTCGATCACCGGGCCTAGCCATTGTGGGGCCGTCCTTATGCTGTAGCGGTCTTGTTTCAAAGACCCGTACGTATCAGGTAGATGCATCTCTAACGTCGAAACGGCGAGTCGACTTCCGTCCAATATTTTTAACATGTTGTTGGAAACTTCTTTCAAACCGACGTGCTGAAGGCAAGCATGGTGGACTGGATGGAAACTTTCCATTTTACCTTGTAGTGCTTCTACGGCCAGCCCTGTGCAAATCTGTGTTAGAAGGACAGCAATGTTGGCTTCATAAATGGTTTGAGCGGCGGTACCAGCAGCGAAGGAGGTGGCATTGATAATGGCGAGTCCTTCTTTTGGTCCCATCACCAATGGTTCTAGATTGGCTTCTTTAAGGGCAACAGGACATGGCATGATTTGACCTCTGACCATTACGTTGATATCTTCTCTTCCGATCATGGCTGCTGCTATATAACCCAAAGGCATCAAGTCACCACTGGCGCTGACAGAACCACGCAGAGGAACGATAGGAACGATATCGTTGTTAATCATGGCTACCAGTAACTGTACCACGTCTGGACGTACTCCTGAGTAAGCCTTAGCGAGACAATTGGCCCTTGTGACCATTACAGCGCGCACCATGTCTGGAGGAAATGTTCGACCCATCCCGGCATTGATGTGTTGTATCAAAGCTTTCTGCAACTTTTCTAACTCCAGAGTGCGGGTATCAGCGCTGTTTCCAAACCCTGTATTTATACCGTATATGACGAGCTTTTCCTCTGTGATTTTCCTTTTAAGATATTTAGCGTTCAACGCCATTTCATCTACGGCCTGTTCAGAGATTTCCAACTTTATGTTTGTGCTATTACTGCATTCAACCACCTGTCCGTAACAAAATTCTCCATATTATCCAAAATGGCGATTATTTAACAATAAAATATTTAAAGATATAATGTACACAGGGGTGTTCGTAATTTGATCCTAATACATATACTTGTATCACTTACGACTTGGAAAATAAAAGCTTTTAAGATTTTAAGCATTACAGACATTCGAAGACATTTTTTGATACAATTTACATTTTATAAGCTATTTATAGTATTTAATAAACTGCTGAAATCATACGGTAAATAATTTACTTGTGCGAGGTTGAGGCAACTGCCGTCTATAGTAACTTTTTCAGCGTTCTTGAGCAATTTTCTCTTCTGCATTAATTCCACTGTGAGTCTGAGATGAGTTGTGTCGTCCGACATCATTATGTTTTCAGGAGTGTCAGAGCACTATTATATACTGCTGATCCTTACTGCTGAAAAGGACAAAATGATCATTGAGTGTGAGCGTTTGCGGGCCAGGGACATGAGAGGGAGAGAGAACAGACCTACGAGAAGTACCATTCATGGTCAACAACGGTTTTTACTAAGATCTGGCATTACTTTAAGTATCTAAAACGTATTTCATTTCTCTTCCTATTTTATTTCTCTTTCATTAAGCACACCCGGGGTCGACTGTTACCTTTTAACAGACTTGTTTTAGCTTCACTCACCTCAGTTTTAGCACACTCCGGATTATTTCGCTTCAGGTTCAGTCTTCTTGTTTGAGTGCATTTGTGTCCTTCGTGGGCTGCGCACCTTCATTATATATGGTCAGTGCACGTGACTGATATTAATTTAATACAGAGGCCTATCTGTCTTGACCATGTTGACTGGACCTTATTTATTATTTTGTTGACCAATCATTCTGACGTTATGTTAAGGCTGAATTAACACACAAACACACACACACACACACACCTATGCACGTGCACACACAGTGAATAAAGTGAAGAGAAATATCGAATATGTACTGAAACTCACTGAGAATGAAGTGGAACTATGTGCGGCATTGACCCCGTGTGACTTGTAATTTAAAAAATAAGTATACGAACTGCAAAACCAAGCCTCCATTTTCACTCAGATTTACCAACTGACGTCCAACAGCTAAGAAGGGATTGCGAAAAAAGGCACATATTGGGAGGCGTCAGGTCCTCAAATAGGCATCATTGGGTTAAAATAATACACGTATATCAAATCAACGTCATCAAAATCAATTTGCAACCTTGCTACAAAAAATAACCGATATGGTTTTAAGCAATCTATAAAGTTTCGTAAGAGGCAGGCATGAGACAATGCAAGAATTGAAAATCGCGAAAGTGCGTGATACATGTGACCTGCTGGCCAAGCCCACCACAGGGTTAAGTGGTTTTTTACGGTTCCAAGCTCGAGCAATGCCCCCTTCCTCACCTTTAAAAATAGCCTTCACCCCTGCCCCCCCCCTCAAAAAAAAAAAAAAAAAAGTATAAGCACCAAAGCGAGATAAAACCAAGCACTTTTTCTTCATTGTGCCCTTACAGCATCATTATCCTCATGTTAAAACAACTTTGTGTTTTCCCAACAAGAAGAGAGGAAAAAATTAATATTGTGGCCCACACCCCTTAGGACGCGCCAGGTACTGGTCATGGTTACAGATGTAGAACAATAAAATACGCTTAACAGAACATCTTTCTTCAACTTTTAATTACACGGCTAGTAGGGACAGATGTCATGATTATTATATTATTATACTTATCATTTTACGATCTTATGTAAATAAATATACTCCAGTTGCATGTTGAAATGCAATAAAAGAAAAATACACGTTAACATGATTAAATATACATGATTTACTTTTCATGTCAAGCCTTACTAGAATACAATTTGATGTTAATTTAGATATTAATGCCCTCTGTAACTGGGTATGGTCTCTCACTGCATAATCTCACCGAATGTTCAAGTACAAATGTAACCCAAGAACGTGATCAGCATTTATTTGCTGTTTACAGACTATATACAGCCCACATATTTCTAAAAACTAGAGAAATTAGTAAATATACGGAAACAAACAACGCGTCACTTGCTCTATTTGGGGTTGGAGGTGAGGTCGATGAATGCGGAGACAACTCAGGTTCATGTTTGCAGTTGATGAGTCGGTTGAGATACAACAGTCTTCAACTCCCAGATTTTAATCTGACGGATTGAGTCTACAGGAACATTCCAGAGCAACAATCACCCAAGAAATTAGAGCTATTCCAAAGAAAGTTACATCAAAGTCATCGACAACTCCGCCCGTAGAAATGAAGTCTTTAGCAGAAAGGAGCACATTTAGAGCATATCCTGATAGCATATTCAAATGACGATAAAATATTTGCCAGTAGAGCTTCATGTAGTGGCGATTTGTTTGTAACAGTAGATTTGTAACTTCTCTGGGTTTCAAAAATATGTGGAGTGTGTAACGTTTTTTTTAAAGAAATTAAATGGCGTTCACGTTCCTAGGTCACATTTATACTCAGGCACACTGTAATTTGTCACGTCCAATATTACCTTACCCCCTTTGTAATGTATCAGTACTTCTCTAAAATCTCAAGAAATATTTTGACACATCATACATCACATAAGCTTAGAATCTTTGTTATCTTTTCGTAATCATCTACCATTTTATTGTTATTCGTCATGCCAACTTAGAATGCCCCTCTGTATGTAAAATTAGAAACAAAAATCTCAGTAGAGTAATTTATTTAAGTAATTGAAGATACACCCCTTTCAGATGACAGAAAATGGAAACCCGGTGCCGACTCTAAAATTGTAGAAATACTTTGGCCTCATTATAGTCATTTCGCTCTTTTGATCTCTTCCACCAAAAACAGTCACTACACCTGGGGAAATTTCAGTTGAGGCCATTCCCAGGTCCGAGCGTTATGTAACCTTCCTACCCGGAGAACATATCCGTGTTCAGGGCTACTATGGAATGTAATATAGTCCCTGTATTTAGTTTTCTCATACTTCCTATTAATCACGTATGTTACCTTTAGTTCCTTTATTATTCCTATAAATTACACACATTTAGTAATAGTTATTGGGCACGCAGGACTTAGAACGATTCCCTATAAAATGATGGCTTCTCAGTTAGTGAGAGAGAGACCCCGGGAGATCGACGAGACAGACCCTGCCTGCGTGCCAGACTGTAGACCGTGTATGAGGAATAAAATCGTCATGAACCACATCTGAAGTTGTTGTGTGATTCCAAGCCGTCGCTCTCATAAAAATAAGTAACCAACCAGGGTTACAGTAATTTACTGTAAATGCTGAGACCAAGTAGCAGGTATCCAGAAATAAATCTAGAAGTTTTCGAGACACTTGTATGAGTATGAGGTAGACTGTGACTTGTGCACACAGGTGCCGTTTGTTTTGAAAATACAGCCAATGATTTGATTGGATTTATGTCGATCCACCAATTCCCCTAGTAAAATTCTTCCGTGTTAGGCTCGCCGTTGCACGGTACAATATTTTACAGCGGACATACTAGTATTCGGTAACAATTTTTTGACAGCATAATTAATGTGCCTGTAGTGGTGGAGGGACACGACCTCTTCACATAAAAATATATTTTTAACGCAGAATAAATGCCATACATAACTCATGATAAGTCTTCAATAAATCATAAATGTGCGAGTCTAAAATTCTACAGCCCATTGTTCTTCACCTTTCACCCTCCATTGTGGGGATTTGAATAAAATCAGGTTAACAGAATTCTGGCAAAGCGAATACGATTTTTGTAAACCATTATTAGATATGCCTTTTATTTTCCATTAGGTTGTACTGGTAATTGGTGTTCATGTTTTCATATTCATATTTGACTAATGCCCTAGTACATTTTGAAAGCTGAATCCGTGCGTCAGTCTCACATTTCAAGGGCATTATTTGCAGCTGTGGAAAAATATATAAGTCATCGCAGTTTTTATTATTGTTATTGAGGTTAGTTAAAAATAAGTTTGAAAAACTGCGGTTATGTGTATTTTATTCGGAGGTGCCACAGGGAAGTTCCATCCCTTATGTTTGACGTCTTTTCAGATTTTAAAAATGCAAAGACTGCCTAACAGAGGAAGGTATATGGAGCTTTCCTTTGAAAGTTCAAAACCTCTATGCATGTGCGAATATTTCTTGAATTTTACCAATTTCGTACTTAGAAACACATTTCCTGCAATATAGTCCTAGCACCTTTTTCCAAAGGACATCCTACTGTTAATATTACTTAGTTTCTTTTGACACAGGGCCTGTGAGTTATTTTCGCAGATTCATATCTTTTAATTGTTATTTCTATAAGAGCTCGTTTCCACTAGTTCATCTGAATAAGGTAAGAAAAATTAAATAATAAATACGCTTAAAATACATTTGTTTTATTTTTGATTCACCACAAGAGAATTTCCCTTCATTTACTTTCAATTTAAAATAAGGTTTAAGCCGTACAAAAGTCGCATTTACAGTTACAGTATGTCCACATCAGCAGTTAGTGCTTCTCCTTAGTGAGATTTTGGAGGAGACTGTGACTGATTTGTCCTGCCAAAACTGCCCTCTACATAATGACTCAAAATGACTTCATAATGACTCAAAACCAGGTCGACAAATAACAACACTTACCCCAAAAAGGAGCGTAGAGACGCTTAAATGCCCTGATACTGGATAAACGGCGTGCTTTTTTACGGCTCTTAGTGCAAACAAATGTAATCAGGGGATGGAGCTTAAAAAAAACAATCCTTTGTAAATATGTGTACTTGGTCTTTGCGAACTTCACCTATACTCACATAATAAATGACTGATGACTGGGGGAGGAGAGGAGTGGAGGTAGAATTATCCGGAAGTGGGGGCACAGAATGTGTTTTCGGTTTTTATACAGGCCTATTTAGGAGGCAAGAAGAAAAGGTGGAGGCAAGCAAAACTGTACCGGTATATTCCAATTCCTTTCGACGGATCCATCTTCACTACTGTATATTTATTTTCATTCTTACTGAACATACGGAAATTCTAGCCGTTCCAGTGAAATCGTAAAAGGTCTAGATCTCTGTCGTTATACGTCGTGGAGATCGTTACTGGGGGTGTGGGCGAATGTGACATTTTTTGTAGTTCTTGACATCAAAGACTATCCTTTAATGTTCAAAAGAGGTATGTCCCCATTCTACGTGTACATCAGGAAAAAATAATTTTGTATATTCACAGTCCCGATATTTTAGCATAATACCCGATGACAAGCTGTGCACAATAAAACTTTCCTACCAAAGCTTTCCTTCCAAAACTTCCATACCTAGATTCATACGACGGAAAATAATAGTAATATATGCGCCTAGCGAATAAAGTCCTGATTCATAACGGACAGGTATATAATGGTTAGCTTACGGTTTAATTTCGAGGTTAATATCAATGTAAACTGCTTCAAGTTATCAAAAAGTATACTTTAGTAGATTTTTTCCAATGTAAATGCTATTTCAGAATTTAAACCAATTTAGATATGTCACTCTTCAAAAGCTCAAAATTGTCATGCGAGAGCTCGTCCGGATATTAAAGTAATATTTCAGTGGATAAAATTAGCTTAAGTTATGTGCTTGCAGGGGCGGATCCAGAGATATTTTCTGACAGGCTTCCGAATTATCTTTATTGATCCATCCTCCACTTTTGACCGTCTTCCGACAGAAAAATTAGAATTAAACTTGAAAATCTGACCGTCTTCCGGAAAACCCAGAAGACGGCCTAAATCCGCCCCTGACTTGTTTATGCCGACAAACAACCTGTTGACATCTCTGGCTAATAGGGCTAAGTTTCACCAAAATAGGCGCAGGGTGACGTTAGGACGCTACCCGTGTGACGCATTTCGAAAATAAATGAATGTTGACAAGTGGATGGTGACCTGGCGAGGCTGCACGAACACTATATAAAAGCTCTGATTATTAACAGTTACAAAAAAGTGAAACACGAGGTAACACGACACGTAACGTACTGTGAGTGGAAATAGGTAAGTACAGATATACCGAATAGAGGCTACAATATGCTACATAATTACACATAGCAGAGTCAACGCGGTGAATTTTTTGCTTTTAATATTTTCTTTTTGCAGATACTGCAGTTGCTTAGTTTACTGTAGTTGAAAATGACATGGTGTGTCTAACTTTTCTTTCATTTTCCTATTTCAGAATTAAGAAAGAAACACAAGCAATACAGAAAAAAATAAGAAGCACACGCCATACGGAAGAAAATATCAAAATGGGTGAGGACAAAACTCATCTCAGTCTCACATTACAGTTAATGCAGGAGCGAAAGCTGATCAGAGATGAAGAAACCTTCACAGTTGACGGGAAAGGGCTGAATATTGCACACGTACGTACATTAGTTTTCTTTGCAGTTATCAGCTAGATATTAACCTGCCCTGTGTATATTGAATTGGCACTTTTATCCACATAATGAAACAGCTCGTCATTTCTAACATATTGATCTGTGGCATTTCCAGAATTGAGAATATTCAACCTTGAAACTGTGTGTGTGAGTGCGTGCGTGCGTGCGTGTACTTTTGCTTTTTAATGTAAATCCATCTATTTTTAATGTTCACATTGAGTCTCAAATGCAATAATTTTGAGAGATATTATTCTTGGGACCTTATGACGATCACCTCTCTTTACAGGTACATGAGAGCAGCAAAAATACGCACATCAAGCTGTCCATTTCTGACCATTCCCTGAATGAAATGGCTCAAAATGCCGAGTATCTTCGAAAGAAAGTGACCGAAGATAGGTTGGTTATATACGGTATCAACACAGGGTTTGGAAACAGCGCTGATACCCGCACTCTGGAGTTAGAAAAGTTGCAGAAAGCTTTGATACAACACATCAATGCCGGGATGGGTCGAACCTTTCCTCCAGACATGGTGCGCGCAGTGATGGTCACAAGGGCCAATTGTCTCGCTAAGGCTTACTCAGGAGTACGTCCAGACGTGGTACAGTTACTGGTAGCCATGATTAATAACGATATCGTTCCTATCGTTCCTCTGCGTGGATCTGTCAGCGCCAGTGGTGACTTGATGCCTTTGGGTTATATAGCAGCAGCCATGATCGGAAGAGAAGATATCAACGTAATGGTTAGAGGTCAAATCATGCCATGTCCTGTTGCCCTTAAAGAAGCCAATCTAGAACCATTGGTGATGGGACCAAAAGAAGGACTCGCCATTATCAATGCCACCTCTTTCGCTGCTGGTACCGCCGCTCAAACCATTTATGAAGCCAACATTGCTGTCCTTCTAACACAGATTTGCACAGGGCTGGCCGTAGAAGCACTACAAGGTAAATTGGAAAGTTTCCATCCAGTCCACCATACTTGCCTTCAGCACGTCGGTTTGAAAGAAGTTTCCAACAACATGTTGAAGATATTGGACGGAAGTCAACTCGCCGTCTCGACGTTAGAGATGCATCTACCTGATACATACGGGTCCTTGAAGCAAGACCGTTACAGCATAAGGACGGCACCACAATGGCTAGGCCCGGTGATCGAGACTCTCAAAGAGGCCTGTCGACGAATAAACGTGGAACTGAATTGTGCCAATGACAACCCAGTCATCGACCACCGCACCGACACCATTGCTCATGGAGGCAATTTCCAAGGAGAAACGCTTTCAATAACATTAGATCAAACTCGTCAAGCGTTGCAAGTCTGTGGAAAGCTTCTTTTGGCACAATTCCAAGAAATTGTCAACCATCGCATTAACCACGACCTTCCGCCAAATCTCTGCGGATCAGACATCAATCTCGATTTTGGTTTCAAAGGAGCTGATACTGCCATGGCATCGTACATGTCAGAGTTAGATCACCTGGCCAACCCAATGTCCAACCACGTGCTCTCTGCTGAATGCCAGAACCAATCTGTCAACTCCATGGCTCTCGTCAGTTCTCGTCTTACTCGAGAAGCGCTGGAGATATTACAGATGATGCTAGCCAATCATTTGTGTTTACTATGTCAGGCCTTGGACCTGAGACATCTGCGTAATAAGGTTAGCATGAATTCATATGTTATTATTATTATTTTCTTTTTTTTGCGAAATTTTATTTAGAAACATTTTTCTATCCAAACTTGAAATACAATAGCAAGTTATATAAATTATTGTTTAAGCAATATAGGAGAATAATTATTCCTTCCATATTTTATTCAAATCGCACTCTAATTACAACATTGCGAATACATTTAGTTTCAAAACAGACATGTCCTGGCTGCAAATAAATAAATAAATAAATAAATAAATAAATAAAATAAAAATTGTATCAATTTGCGCTGAAACTCAATGTTATCTTTTTCAGGTACTGATGACAATTGACAAAATGGGGAAACCCCATAAGGAATTCCTTGCCTCTTTTCTCAAAGAAAACAAATGGTATGATTTCCTTTTCAACCCAGAGGAATCTGCAGCTAGGTTTGCTGAGAAATTTCCTAAAAATGGTCACAAAGAAGAAGACATCCGCAGTGAGATATGTGGCACTATGAAATCACTGATGTCTGATGCGTGTAACGGTCATCTAGGGACTGCTGAATGCCTAGGAAAAGGTGAGCTGTTTTATATTGCAAATTTTGAAATCAGCCTTTACTCTTGAGACGTTGTCTTCAAATAAAGACGTTTTAACGAACTGCTTAAATAAAAATTAGTAGAATCGAGCCGCTTTACCTATTATTAAGATACCTAGCCTGTATCTGATCTGAATGATTTGATCACAGTTAAGTTGTAGTTTATTTTATTTTAGGTTCACAGAGAGCGTACTGGTACATACGTCACACGGTGGGAGTGCCATTTTACCACGGCCAGGCAGCAATTGACACGTGGCTGGAGAAGATTTTATCAGCTGTTCAAAATGGAGACTTTGAAAACGTTTTAATTTCCGTATTTGAGGAGGCTTGATTTTCAAATTATGCAATGAACATTAATATGCATTTATTTTGTAATTCAGTGCACTTATTTTGTATGTTATTTTTCGGAATATATATATTTATATGATCTCCACTAAATATATATGACAGGGATTCTCTTTCCGAAAAGCATGCGCTTGAGCAGGAAATTGGAAGTATGTTTTAATTACGCATTAAAAATTTTATTTAGTACGGGTAAATTGTGGCTCTTTAGATTACGTTATACCTCTACACCATTATTAATTTTTTGCAGGTTATTATTTATGTTATATTTCCATTAGAAATGGGACATGTTGCATTAAGTCAGTTTTTAAGTGAGGCCAGTAATTCATCATATAATATACATTACAAGGTGTGATATCTGTATGCAATAACAAGTAGCTCATTTATTTTACCAAAACTTTTTTTATAATACTTTTATATGGACACGGTATTTGTATACATTTTTTTCAATAAAACAACTCGAAAGGCGGAAAGCGGTTAAGCTGTTGTTCTTACGGTACTATATATAACCACTCAAACTCTAGTGTACTTCAACATACACAAATCTCATAAATATCCCCGATCCTTCCTGTTTCGAACATTGAAGAATAACTGTGAAGAAAACACTCGTGAGATAACAACTATTTGTTCTACAAATGGTATTTTTCGTGTCAGTGTACTTTATCAACATGAACACCATGACATATTATACGAAGGGACCAATATCTGGTTTATATGACAAAATCACAACATAAATGGCTTAATTCAAAATGTATTGGGTGAAGGCCCCCTCCTCACACACCTACGGCTGCTATAAAATGAATGGTGTTTTAAAAGCCCCCTACCCACTTTTTTTCGCGTCAACACAGGAAGGGACGGGCTGGGGTTTTTTTGTGTGGGAGCGCAAACTGGTCGAAAGTTAACACTTTTTGAGACCTTTCCTGCCGTGCGTAAGCACAACCAGTACAACGCATAAATTTTGTGCTAGCCGTCACAATGAGGCCGAGAGGCAAAACATGCAGTCTAAGCAGTGGCGGGTTTAGGGGGAGGTGGGTGTCAGGGGGGT